ATGGTTGGATTGGAAATCATGAAAACTGAAATATACGTGTAATTATTCTTAAAGCAAAACAGATGCATCGTATCATTTCCTATCGTAATGTACACAGTCTCAGTTGTTACAATGAAATTGAAAACAGTAAATGAACGTAAGAACATGTAAGTCGTCTGTGTGTTTTAGCCAGTTTATAGCGGTTTTCCGTTATGCGGAAAGAAATAAGAAAATCCAGGTCCATCTTTGGAAAGCGTTGCACCCAGGTGGTTCGTCGATATTCGTATCATTTGAAATGAAAGTGAACCACGAAATACCTCTCCTGGATATCTCTATCCAACGTCCCTGTCCTCTTGCCAATCCTCCGAGGGAATATTCGCGCGAGTCAGCGAGTGCTTCCACGCGTCGAGAACGAAACACGTCCGTATCATACAGGCCAAGTATCGATTCAACGATGGAGGACCAGTCTCCACATTCCGTCCGAGCAATTTCCAGCGAAGCGGAATTTCCACCGGGTCATTATTGTTCTCGGCGGTCTAGAGACAATTTCCATCGGTTTACTCAAATCTGGCCAGCCAACCCTCTAGGTAAGTAGAAAGAGAGACAATGGAGAGCGAATGGATGGAATAGATAGAGAGGAGAGGAAGGGAAAGAGGGTGGATGGATGGTGGCACGTGAGGTCTGCAATCGTGGCATCGTGCATGGGGGGCAGGAAACAGACGAAATTTGACATCAGGCTTGATCAGTGGTATGTAAGAGATAATTGATGACGTTACGGTTCATCGCTCGCTACTCGGTTACCGGACATGGACAAATATTGACAGCTTCCGATCACAGAGCTGCTAGTATCCTTTGTAGGTAGCTCACGCACACGATCCTTCGATGTCTGTTCGGTTTTCCCCGTCGAATCGCTTCGCTTAGTGTCTGGTACGTTAGTAAATCAACGTCCCCTGGACGTGCATGTCGAGCAAGTTTCGTAAATTAAAGTGGCCTCGTTTGTCCCTATAAAGCTTGCCTGTGGCTATTGGTTGCACGTGACGTCGCGCTCCATGCTTTGAGGACAAAGTGGCAGTTTTCCCTTTGCTTTACTTTTATTATAGCCGGGATCCTGGCCTGTCTTCGTGCCACTTCCTCCCGGAACACAAAATTGCAGCTGGAACTTAAGTCCGGGAATTTGAAGGGTTCTTGGCTAGTGAATCGGAGAGGAAGTACAGGTGACCGAACCTTCAGCCCGGACATAGTTTCGAGAACCATGGATGACTCTACCGCTGTTGCATTGTTCATCTTTAATTGCCTGTGCGGTTCTCACTTTGGTATTTTGCAAGCGAACCACTGTCTTCAAAGGAACCACCGGTTCAGCAAATCAGTTCATAACAAGTTTCGCAAAATTCGATTAAGTTGCTTTCTTATCCTGGATCGTTTGCGGCGGGACAAAGCATCATTTGTTATCCAACTGTTAATATCCTTGCACTCTCTGTGTAATTGCTTCCTCTCTCTCTCTCTCTCTCTCTCTATCCAATCAACTCGAAAACTCGTATCGTTTAATTCTATCTACAGCGAACGATGTCATTTGTCCGTTCGACATTTTCTTTTTTTCTTTTTTAATTTTATCACAGTTGTTGTATTATCAAATAAATCTTCGAGGCTGGCATTTAACCGTTTGAAAATATCCGAATTGCCTTGTTTAAAAACTACTCTCGAGCTTTTGAAAGGAATACGATTTTCAAGGCTGTCCTTGGCTGCTCCATTTTCCATTCCTTTAGGTTCAGCGCCGGAAGAAAAGGAGAGCTTCAAAGGCTCGAGAAGGCTGTCGAAAAGGCTCATGGTTTACACATCGTGACGGTACTTTCTCGTCAAGGCTCGTAAAAGCTCTCAGGACGATCGACTGTAAAAGTCGGCGACACGGTCAAGGAGATCCTTCTTGATTTCCCGGTTCTCAATTCACGAGCTCGTGAAAAACCACACTCCACATATTCCCGGTCACTGCCTCGTATTATCCATTCTTTTCAACTCCGAGAGCTTTCTCATTGTTCTCTCGTTCTCTCGGCAGAGGCCCGTCGAAATTGTTTCTTAATAGTTGAAAACAATTACTCGAGGTGGTAAATTTGATTTTTTTTAATTCACTTGTTTAACGCCAAGTTTTAATCCTTTCGACGAAGTTAATCGTTGGAATAAGATTCAGATGAAATATCCGCGAAATTCGTGTTGGGATCGATCTGTTTAATTCGTTGTATTAACGATAGTTTTATTCAACTTTTAAATGTTAAATTTTCTCCAACTTTTAATGTAAAATATATTAAACTTGCGTTGTAGACAGAAATAGCAGACGAAAAAATCGTAAGAATAGGAAGATATTGTAAAAAAAAGAAAAAAAGTGAAAGCGAATGTATAGAACGTAAAGATGCGTTGCGAGAGAGGCAAGCTTTTAAAGGCGGTATGAAATAGGGACAAGGTTTAAGAGATTATATGTCGTTTTTCCATACGGCTGCTTTTGGAAAACTTGATTGAAGACGGAATTAGCTCGTGTCAACGTCGTATCATAGGAAATTGTACGATGAGGACAACAGTGAAGATACGTGTATGT